GCTGGCACATGGAGCTGAGTTCAAGCCAGTGTGGTGGCACTACTACTAACCCCAGCACTGAAGGACTGAAGCAGGGCCCTGTCTTGGAATAAAACCCCTCAAAACCAACTGAGTGAATAGATTTCTGCCTGAAAATGTCCTACGCCCTTCCCATTAGCACTGACTACTGCATTTGTGTCTTTCAAATGTCCCCACAGGACCTGGAAAATCTAGTCTATGTATCAGATGGTTTGGGAAAAGCCTTTGAAGTCCAGTTATCTATTTGATTTTTTTTAAAAAACTCCTTTAAATTCATTGGCCAATTATTGCATATAATATGTATTTCTGCTGTCAACTCCAGGATTTATTTATTTTTTTGCAATTGGCTAATTTATAGCATTTATGCAAATGAGCCTCATCAGGTTTTAGAATGTAGGGCTGCTTATCTTTCACACTGAAGCAAGCTGCATTTTTTTCAGACTGCATTTTTCGTGTAATCCAAGAGTCATGTGGTGACGGTTATATATTATAAATGTGTTCCAATTCACGTCCTGTGCGAACCCGACCGTCCGGAGTAAGAAAACACACACTGTCTCTGCTGTGGCGGATACTTGGATCTCACCTACATGCTAACTTGCCAGAGTCATCTGTCTGGTTCAATGGTAGTGGAAGTAAAAAAAAATCTACTTGTGTTCTATTCCAATCATTTTCACTCCAGAATTCTGAAAGCTTTGATATTGGGACAAGCTGACAGGAGATGTCATTAATAAAATGCACACAAACATTCCAAAAGCAACAGCAAAGACTATCTATCATAAGTAAATCATTCCTACTATTTCCTAAGCATTCCTCCTTGCTAGTAACTATGCCAAAGGTCCCTTTTACTAACTCATTCAATCCTCGCAATAACCTTACTCCTGGCTAGAAGGCAGCAATCTGAAGCAGCATTGAGTTAACTGATAATAACATACAGGCGGCAAATGATGCGTGGGCTAGCTTGTACACTGAGAATGTCCACGCTTGTTCTCTAGGTGGCATTTTCTACAGCTATAATTAAATGTAACCCTTTTGCTGGTAACAGAATTAGTATTTCTATTCATAATTTAATTTTTATTTCTCCTATGTGAATTAATACTCAATAAATTGTAGGTTCTAAAGCAAAAAAAAAAAAAAAAAGAAAAAGGACAGCCATCAAATGGTCTTCTCTTACAAACTCTTATTCCATAATGAATAGCTGAGAAAAAAAAAAAGAAAAGAAAAAAGAGGGCTTCCTGTATAAATTACACAATGTTAAGTGTGATGTGAGGGGCTCCACACACCTCACTTCCGGGCTTTTCTCAGCAGGGTCTAGGCAGCTGAGGGACACATAAAGGTGTTTCCCATATATCTGATCTTCTCAACGTTTTTCTTCCATATGTCCGTGATGATGTCGAATACGGGCTGTTCAAGAGATAAAAGGACAGTATATTCAAACACACAGGATTTCTCCCATGCTGTGTAGTCTCTGGTGCTTCTTCACCTGTAAGAGCCGAGTGAAGGCCTGTCCGCACTCCTTACACTCATAAGGCTTCTCGCCGGTGTGAATTCTTTGATGCTGAGTAAGATGGGACCTCTGCCGGAAGGCCTTGCTGCACTGCTGGCACTGGAAGGGCTTCTCACCAGTGTGGATCCTCTGGTGCAGAATAAGAGTTTTACAATCAATGAAAGCCTTTCCACACTCTTTACATTCATAAGGCCTCTCCCCAGTGTGAATTCTCTGATGCCTATTAAAGTATGAAGGACAAGCAAAGGCCTTCCCACACTCCTTACACTCATAAGGCTTCTCGCCAGTGTGAACTCTCTGGTGCTGGATGAGATGCGCTTTCTGCCTAAAGGCCTTCATACACTCCTGACACTCATAGGGCTTCTCATTAGTGTGGGTTCTATAGTGTTTCATGAATGCTGAATGACAGAGAAAGGCCTTCTCACAATAGTTACACTCGTAAGGTTTTTCCCCCGTGTGAATTTTCTGGTGATCATTCAAGTTGGAAGCCCAAGTGAAAGTCTTCCCACATAAGTTACACTCATAGGGTTTCTCGCCGCTGTGAATCCTTTGATGTCTGGTGAGATTTGCACTCTTGTTAAAGGCCTTCTGACATTTGTGACATTCATAAGGCTTCTCATTGGTGTGCGTTCGCTGATGCTGAAAAAAGGTAGAGAAGTAGAGGAAGGCCTTCCCACAATGCTTGCACTCATAGGGCTTCTCGTCCGTGTGAACTCGCTGGTGCTGGACCAGCAGGGAGCAGTTAGTGAAGGCTTTCCCACATTCTTTGCATTCACAGGGCTTTTCCCCCGTGTGAAAGCGATTATGCTGAACAAGGTAAGCATGCTTTTCAAAGATCTTGCCACAGATCTCACACTGATAGGGCTTCTTATTGATCTGATATGGGGCAAGTTGGAAGTCATAGGCAAATCTTCTGCCACACTCTTTCAATTCCTCACATTTCTCACCAGCAAAATCCTGTCGATTTTTCATCTGATCTGTGTAATAGATAAAGGTGTTCTCGTACATTTCATTAAGTTTATCACTGGTAGGAAGTCCTACTGGCTGAGTCACGGTTTCACCTGCTTCTTGTTCATAGTGTTTTGTTTCAGAGAGAGTCATTTCACCTAGAGCAACGGGTGTAGGCTGAATGAATTTGGTTGACATCTTTTCCAACGGGGCTGTCACTCCCTGTAAATATTCCTCTGTAGATTCTGGCTGTGTCTCAAGGAGTCCCTTAAATTTCCAATCATTTCCAAAACAAGATTCCTCAAGGCAAGAATTACCGACTCTTTCTATTATTTTCCATTTTAATGATTCCTTTCCAAAGATGCCACTCTCTAGAGATAAATTCTTAGTTTCATTTACAGACAGCAAATGTGTGTATGTGTGTGTGTAATAATCTTTAAGGTTTTTTTTCTCTTACTCCTTTTCTTGAAACCTCAATCTGTGGCCCAGGCTGGGATGTGACTTGTGGCAATTCTCTTACATCAGGTTCTAAAGTGCTGGGACTGCAGGTATGAGCCACCAAGTACAATTTGAAAGGGTTCTTAAAAAACAAAAAGCAAAGCACTGTATTATTTTATTTTACTATTTTGTCTACATGTGTATCTGTGTATCACATGCATGCCTGTAGAGGCCAGAAGGCAGCTTCAAGTCCCCTGGAATTGGAAGTTACACAGAGTTGTGAGGTGCCATATGGGTGCTGTGAATTGAACCTGGATCCTCTGGAAGAGAAGCCAGTACTGTTAACTGCTCAACCATCTCTCCAGCCCCAGGACTCTTGTCCAGAGCTGTAAGCTTTTGTTTTGAATACCTAAAGCACATGTTTAGTTGGACTTTCTTGGTACTGTCTGCTCCAGTCCCCAAAGGCAGAGAGACAGGGAATCTGTCTCCCAGGGCAAGGTGGCTAGGAAAACTAGGGTTTGATTGAGAGACCTTGTCTCAAAAGGGAGAGAGTGATCAACGAAGATTGCCAACATTTACCTTTCACCCGCACAGGACTCTCTCCTTTTACTACTACTACTACTACTACTACTACTACTACTACTACTCACACACACACACACACACACACACACACACACACACACACACACGCACACAATCACTCATGTATATACTACATATACCCAAAAAAAGTAAAAAAAATTAAGAAGTAAATGGGGCAGACAAGATGGCTCAGTGAATAAAAGTGCTTTCCATGCAATCCTGACAATCTAAGTTCAGCCCCACAGCTGAAGAGCAGAACAAACCAAAGACGTTGTCCTCTGGACTTCAATGATGCCCCTCAAAGTGCACATATCCACTGTTAAGTCTCAAACCTTGGAACAAATGGCAGAGGGGCCTATTTAACATATACAGTAGACCTGGCAGCTCCTAGGGAGAGGGGAAGAAGTTCCAGGAAGAAGCCGAGAGGAGCCACGAGGGAGCAGATGGGGTGTCTGGTGGCAAGAATTTCAATTGGAGTTTCATCCTTAAGCAGGCAGAAAGGCTTGTGGGACAGAAATGTTCCAAATCGCAGAGAGGGGTCCCTTTCCACACGACAGGGGGCCCAGCAGGGTGAGAGGAAGCTTCCTGGCACACAGGTGTGGCTTTTATAGTAAAAGCAGACAACACAGGGAGCTCTGTAGTGGCACTGACCCAGCAGAAGGGGACAGACGAGTGGGGAGAACAAGGCAGAGGACAACAGCTGGAGAGGTGCAAGTGTCTTAAGTAACTAAGACTGCCCATGTGGTGGCCCCAAAGGACATGTGGCGGGCAGCCCAAAAAAGCATCGCAGGGAGAGAGGGGTTACTTACTGAGCAGGTGAGGAGAGATGGCAAGACCAGGTGTGGGGAAGAAGCAGACTCTAAA